CCCATCCGTTCAAATTTCCCCCAACCCCTCCATACAAAAAAGCACCTTTAAGACCTCCGGGACCCACAACGGGGCCCCGGCAACAGCCCATACCCGTGGACGTGGTGGAAAGTCGGCGAGTCACTATTGACTCATTTCTGATGTGGCCGAAAATGCTTTGATTGTTTTTAATGCATCAAAATGTCTCTAGAGTTTAACTAACGACGCTCTCGGCATGTGTTCTTGTTCGGGCAGGTGCGTCCACATCACGGACATCGGCGTGGGCTACATCTCCACGATGCTGTCTCTCAGCGCCCTCTTCCTCCGCTGGTGCTCTCAGGTCCGGGACTTTGGCCTGCAGCACCTTTGCGGCATGAGAAACCTGCAAGTGTTGTCACTAGCAGGTGAGCGACGACATTTTGGTCCTATTTTGTTACGTTGTTCTCCCCGTTTTGGTCAGCTGAGAGCCTGTGCCGTGACCTCGGCGGAGCGCCTGTTAGGCGTTAGGCGAGCTCTCCCGCCTGCCAGCTTCGTCCACGGCTTGCCTGCCCAGCGCGGCGCTACTACCCCGACCTGGTCGTTGCTCACTCGTTGCCCTTTTTGTCTTGCCTCCAGGCTGCCCGCAGCTCACCTCCAGCGGTCTGTCCAGTCTGATCCAGCTCCGCCACCTCCAGGAGCTGGAGCTGACCAACTGCCCGGGTGCCTCGCAGGAGCTGTTCGAGTACCTGCGGGAGCACCTTCCGCGCTGTCTGGTTATTGAATAATCGCCCAAAGAAACTGTCATTCGGAAGAGCCACTAGTCATCAAACCATGGTTTCGTCTACCGTCAGCAGTATGAGAGGAATGATGGCAAATATCTCTCCTTTGGGTATCAGCTGTGATACATCAGGAGTGGCGGTTGTGTGGCGCGCACTGACCTAGCACTCATGTATATACATTTTGTAAAATAGAAAAACTTACTTCTTCCAAAGGGTATTGTGATGATGTGTTACTAGTGTATCTGAGAGAACGTGAGCGTATGTGTCTGTTTGTGTGTTGTGCGAGTGTGTTGCAGAACAATGTCGATGTATAACTTTGTACCTGATGGAATAGGATTGAGGGGTCGGCAATCACGTCTCAGTATTGTGTGGGGATGCCCCTTTGTCAGGCAAGTATTACCAGAATAAAACAATCTGTCTGTTTTTTCTAGTCTAAAAAGAAATTTGCACATCATTAAATTGTACTCTCTCTCAGTGCATTTCTCTCTCCTTTAAAATCAAAATCTGTAATATAGCAAAATATTCCATGACCGAAGTATACAACTGTGACGAAACAATATAATGTGTGTGTAAGCCTTTGGTTAGTGTTCTTTTTTTATGAGTTACATTTAATGTAGTTCCAGAAAGTGTGGAAGTGATAGCGGTATCTTCTCTTTTGATCCGTCCTTTCAAAACAGCATGCTTACCTTTGCTGTCCTTGCATTCTCCCAGGTCATGAATAAGATAGAAAGGGTGAAACAAAATAACATGACAGTACTGAAATAAGTTTTAATTTTTAGTAATTTATGAATTTCTTGACGGCAATGCTTCTTTTCTCAAGAAGCAAGTTATTCCAATTTCAAATATATCATGCTGTACCTCCTTCCACTTAAATTCTAGAGAATGGTCATTCATATGTACTTTGACTAAAATTATACGTCCTCCAAACTGTAAATTTAAAATCGATTTTGTAGATGTAAAAGCACTTTAGTGATAGAAAGAAATTTTCCCATATGTTACAGTTTGTTTTACCTCAGCGATGGCGATAATATATTAGTGATTTTCTTGTTACTTTATTGTTCGAGTGAAGTTACAGGTGTATAAACTATACTATGTACTCATACCCTTTAATATCCCCCATCTGAAATCACTGCTATGACATATCTTGCTAACCAATTTTGTAAACGTATGGAATTAAAATGTAACTAAATTTCAAAAGCTTTTTCACAATTTAAAGAATTCGGTTTAAGAAAATAATGACAACAAAACTTCTATAGTGTAGTCAATAATCTACTTATTGTGCTACAAAAAAGGCATGATTTCTATAGAATCCACTGTTATAAGTGCAAGGACAAGCAAAACTGAAACAAATAGGCATTCTACTGTTCTCAGAAAAATCTGTTATTTTCCCCTTTGATTTGATTTAAGAACATGATACTTCCAAGACTGAAAGATAATAATTTTGCTGCCCAAGTACTCTTCAACAATAACTGGGCATTCCCTGAAGCCCAACAGACATTTTAAAAACCTCTCGGAGGAAAAATAAGATTTTTTTCTGTAAATGCAACCCCCTTTCCCTGCCTCGCTTTTCTCTAGATTTTACACATGTTAAGTCTTTCAGAAACTCAAAGAAACTCATAATTGTCTTATGCCAAACTCCCAAACTCTATTTGTGGTATGCTTAACAAAAGATCAAGGTTTATCAGAACTAAGTTGATTTAATTTTTGTTAACTAACCATTCTTGGCCCTAAAAAGAGGCCCCAGATAGTTTGCTGTAGACTCAAGTTCAAGTATTTTCCTAGACTGAAAAATTCTATCATCAGCAAGCACATTGTCTGACAACCCGTGTCCTAACCATACGAAACACAGGAGGGATTTGTAGGATCACTTAAGATTAGAAAAACAAAATGTGTTAAATTTCTTTATGTTAGATAAATACTTAAAGTACCATGTAGAAATGTTTTTACATTATATAATATTTAACTACAATGTTCTAAATGTAAGAAACATAGACAACAAAAAAGAACAAAGAAAAATGTTTTGATGACACTTTAAGCGCATTGTTGTAAATGAAAGTATATTCATTGACAGTACAACAAAAAATTACAGGAAAATGGTCCATTTCTCATTTCATTAACCGAGTTTTTGATATAGAATTAGGTCAGTTGTCAGCAGAAGAGGAAAGGAAATACTTTTAAAATGTATAAACAATCACTATTTTTTCAGGGGAAAGATTAAATTTTAACATTGTGCATATCTGAGAACTTTAATAGAGATACACTTTGTGGTTTCACTGGAATGTATAGTCCAAAGTTATTTTCTTAGATGTTGGAGACTTGGTAGGTAAGGTATGGTTGCTATTTAACAATTAAACCCAGTTCTTGGGCCAATATACGTAAGTGCTTAACTCTATATGACCTCCCTGCAAGTCTGGTATCTAACTAATCATATATTGGATTGCATGTCAAAAGCTGTGGGACTATGATGATTTCCCAAATTATTTCATCCATCTTTAAACCAAAGGAAGAGCTTTAGCCAACAAATGCATAATAAGGAGTTGTGAAAACAATCCAAGACAATTCTTGTTTATGGTTCTGTGTCTTCATTTCGTTGTAGTGTTTGTCTCCTGCAAAAATCCATGACCATGTAAAAAAATATGTAAAATTGAAAGAATTATTCTGTATTTTAGAGAACTAGTTGAATGAATCTGAATGTCATTGATGTTCTTGAAACAATAAATCCATGACAAAAATTTAAAAAATGATGAGTCAGTTTTGAGTTGAGATACCTTGATTATCTCTTGTGACACAAGAAAAACTCGAACACAGGTCATGAAGTCCACCAAGATAACAATCCCAATCCAGACTCACTTATTCCACCCTGGAAAAACAGAAAAACAGATACAACCAGCACAAAGAAGGCTACTTAAGAAATACATAACACGTGTAAGTGGTTAAATGTGCCTACAGTCAATGTGTAGGGAATTTTGTGCTCTGGTTTGGCAGAATCAGCAGGTGTTGTAGCATCAGGGGTTTCAGGACCACTTGGAGAAGTTTCTGTGAAGCTCTCTGCTGTTACTCGGAATCTGATAGGTTCCCCTATAAGCAGAAAAGTTGAGCCGTTGGTATTAAAATTAAATTTTTTGATGAAACTGAATTTTAACATAATATTTACCTGCATCCATGAAAAGATCATGCTTCTCTCCATCTGCCCCAGTGTCATATTCCCAAACCCACACCTGTTCGGTCTCATCAAATCTTGACGGATGTTGTAAGGCTGAGGGTGGAATTACAATATCGTCGAAAAAACCTAAGGTAACTGAAAGAAATAAGGGGGAGAATCAAAGGGCCATATTACAAATTAAAAGGGTTATCATATTAAAGCTTATAAAACAAGATAATATTATGTAAAAATTTACCATGAACGCCTTCTGAGCTACAACTACGTATTTTTCCAACAAGAACTTCTTCAAGAAATGGTCGAAACACTACATAACGAAATCGAACTTTAGTGTGGGCCGCTCCATCGCCCGGAAAAATAAACGAGTCCTCCATATGTATTATGTCATGTAACGCTATGCAAAGACCAACATTCAGCACGACCTGGGGAAATGGGACATTTTCAATCCAAAGTGTTGTAAATAAAGTAATTATAATTCCCACACATCCAACACGTTCGTTCTAGGTTACTTGTTTTTACGAAGGGTTACCTTATTAGCCAATTTCTTGTTCAATTCCTCGGCAATGGCGTCGGTCAGTTTGACGTTGAATTTCCAAGGAGGCGTTCGAATGACATGTTTCATTTCAGCTAACACAAACATTTTGCGAAAAAATGTTCCAGCCCGGTAAACATCGACAGAAAGAGTTGGAGCACACAAGCAGAAGTCTTGACAGGATGTAAACACAGGGGTCTGTTCCCTTACTTTGTGATTGTGTTGCCCGTTGCTGGTCGATTCAAGACCGGTTGTGACAGGAATGGATCCTACGACTCGACTCAACTAAACCCAACTTTTCTATCCTGCTGCTTTTGGGTGAAAAACTTTCTCAACCTTCGTAAATGTGTAATTTTAAATATTTTGTTGCTATAATAATTTGAAGCAATTTACTATTGAGGTCAATTCAAGGCAACCATTAGAAGACAAACGTTTATCAGCAGTGTCTTTGATTGATAAATGGGGTTCCCTGAGACCTGTGAGGCACTGGAAGCCTAACGATAGGCTGCTGTAGCTGTATTTTGTACAAGTCGGTCCTACAGTTGTTCAACAATGAGTTTGCCATTGACGCAAGGGGCTCTGAGCAAACTGAAAAAGAAACATTTTCGAGTCAAGCATCAGAAAGTGAAATTGTTCCGTGCTAATGAACCACTGCTGTCCGTCTTCATGTGGGGAGTCAACCATACAGTAAGTGGTCACAACCTCTTTCGTTGAGGTTATCATAGTCCTAGTCATTAATTAATACCATCTGTATCAGAGAATGTTCTATATTGAGAATATTTTTGCTTCATGTGTGGAACTGAAATATTCATGGCTTTCAAATGCTTGGAATGACAAGTCATTCAAACTGGAAAAGGGGTACTAATTTTGTCTAGCATCATATCCTCTGAGACTAAATGATTCTGTCAACTTGTATGAATTGTATATATACTTGTATGTATTCTGTACGATGATCTCTTTGAGGTGAAGAGTTTGAAGTGAAACATATGTTCCTTTGCTTTAAATCTATTTTTTCATCTATGGACACTTGATATTCTTTTGTCTGCAGTCAATCACCATATCTTTTATTTTATTCATTACAAGCAAGTTTACTTTTGTTACAGATAAATGAATTGAGCCACATGACAATACCTGTGATGCTACTTCCAGATGACTTCAAGGCTTATTCAAAGCTGAAAGTTGATAATCATCTGTTTAACAAGTAAGCTTGTACAGATTATGTCTCTTGTATGACTGAACTACACTCAAGATAAGATTCTGACATTTCCTGTTTGATTATTTTTTCCACCTCAGAGAAAACATGCCTAGCCATTTCAAAGTAAAAGAATATTGTCCTCTAGTATTCCGAAATCTTCGTGAGCGCTTTGGAGTTGATGATATTGATTATAAGGAATCAATGACTAGGTAAGAATAGCTACATGCATGGAGTGCTTTATAATGCACAAACTTAGATCTTTCTTACTTTCTGGGAATATATTTTAGTTGGCCGAAAAGTTTCATTGTTGCTATCCTTTATTTTCTTTATATTTTGCCATAGCTATGAAGTATCTTTCTCTTTGATTGTATTCATAAATATGTATTTGCTTTATGCACCTGCGCAGGCAAGGTTTGATGCATGCAGTGTCTTCTTTACTCTTATTTTGTAGGTTTATTTGACTTTTTTGTCATGCAGATCAGTTCTTTTCTTTAATTATGAAGTATTTGTGTAGCCACGTAAATGTTTACTTCAAATACAGCATCACAGCTACTTTTCTAAATTTCTGCATGCTATCTGATCATGTACTAGATGCCTCATTATCTTATTATATTTGAGTATCCCCACTTGTCATTATAGACCTCTTTCTCCTCTCCCCCTTTTTGCTTTTTATGGTTCAATGTTTTGTTTTGTGTTTCTGAGCACAATGATATATATCTATTAACGCAACTAAGAATTATTGTGAAAGTTATGAATTGTACGAAAACTTAAAACTACAGACATCCTCTATTTTTAATGATAGTTCGCAACCTGTAAGCAATTTTGGGTTGTGGTTAGGACCCAACGCTACCAATTGTGGCGGCGAGCTCAGCCTGTGGACAATTGGCATGAAAAGCCTCATGGGCTCCACCGCTCTTTCACTCTTCCTGCCCACCCTTCTCATCATGATTGTGCTTCCCCACGTATCACTGGTTACAGTCAGAAGTTGCGTCAAAAGCGCATGAGGTCAGTTAATTGGTTGCAGGGTGTGATAGACATTGCTTGTTGACATTCTCTGTCTTTTAGTGTTAGCATGTGTTGTTTATCTTCTTCATTGTTTGCTTGGTGAGGTATGTTGTGTTTCTAGTATTGAATCTGTTTTCACCTGAGTCTAAGACCCCTCCACATTTAAGACCCCCCCCCACCCCCCACTTTTATGGGCTCAAATTCAGAAAGAAAGAAAAAAAAAACCGGGAGGCGCTGACATTTAACGTGTTTCCGGGCTTCTGAAGTTTTCTGGACTCCCCTTGGTTTAACTTGGACGTTTAAGACAACCCCCCCCCCCCCCTTTTCCTCCACTTTCGGGGAAAAAAAGTGGTTTTAGACTCAGTTAAATACAGTACTTAGTGTGAGCCAGATTTTTTTTTGTTGCATCTATACTATTTTTATTTTTTATTTTTTTCTATGGTTTTTGTTGTGCTTTAAGATTGTTTTTGTTTGTAACTGAACCTGTGAAGGAATGTTTGTCAGCGTGTTTGGACTGTTATTACTATTGTGGTATTTCTTTAGCTGGGACATGTGTGTGATACTGACAATGACTGATTTGATTTCGCATTACTTAACTTTACTACCAATTATATTGCTTATGTGATCTGACAAATAGTAACATCAGTGTTTTACGAACTCATTCGAGTTCAGTATAAGAAGGAGCTTCTAAAAAGAGGGAGCTTTAAGAACTGTGTTCACCTCCATTTTTGTTCCTACTCAATAGTTGATCAGGCCTTTTCTATCTGTCAATTGGAGTACTACTTTATTGCTGTTTGCAGCCTTGCATTCCCAAGCCATTCAGAAATATTTCATCCTTACTCAGTTTGGCTTTAAAATCTTTTAAAATGTTAAAGATTTGCTTGCTAAGATAAAAGATGTTATGGTTCGGTCATGATTGGTCATTGGTCATTATTTAATGTTGATACTATACCTTTTGCCCTGATCTTATTTTAGGTCACAGCCAGTCACTATGGATAATCCAGGAAAATCAGGGGCAAAATTTTATCAGTCGTACGATCGTTTGTTCATCTTGAAATCTCTCACAAGTGAAGAAGTTGAGAGAATGCATTCATTTTTGAAAGATTATCATCCTGTAAGTATTTTTCAAAGTCCAATAGTTATTTCACAGAACTAAATGTCAACCTTTAAAACCATTAGAAGCATTGTTTCCTTTAGCTTAACTTTTCTCTCTTATAGTATATAGTGGAGCGACATGGGAAGACCTTATTGCCTCAATATTTGGGCATGTACCGCATTACTGTTGATGGTGTTGAACATTACTTGGTTGCCATGCGTAATGTTTTCAGTAATCATCTTCAAATCCATAGGTAAAAGAACTTAGTGTAATCTAGTTTTTCTCATGCCTTTCCTCCCCCCCGTTTTTTTTTAATATTATGGGGGTTTTGAGAGCCCTCCAGATTTATATAACCAATTTTATTTCAGGAAATTTGACTTAAAAGGCTCAACAGTAGACAGAGAAGCGTCAGACAAGGAAAAAGAAAAAGATCTTCCTACTCTTAAAGACAATGATTTTGTCAAGGAGGGAAAAAAGATTTTTATAGGAGATGAAGCTAAGGATAAGTTAATGGATACATTAACTGCAGATGTTGATGTTAGTAAATTTTATGTCACTCATAACAGAAGTTTTTTGGGGGTTTATGGTAATTTATATTTTCTATTGCCCGCAGTTTCTGACAAAGCTTCATCTCATGGACTATTCTCTACTGCTGGGAATCCATGACTGTGCCAGAGCAGAACAAGAAAGCCGCGAGCGCCAGGAGCAGGAGAGTGAGGAAAATGATGATGATGATGATTCTGACTCTGGCAGTGGACTTGAAAATCGAAATATTGGGGAAGGGTAAGTTCACTATCTCAGTTTTTCATGCATTCTTATTTGAACTTAAATTCACAGTAATCCTCATTATTCTGTTTATTACCAATTTGTTTTTATTTTTTAGGAGGCATGGCTACTGGGGTGGAGGTGGGATTTCCACTCCTCCAGATTCACCTCATGCTGCTGCACAATTCCTGAGGGAGTCAAGTCTCCAATATGATGGTTGCATCATTCCCGAACTTGATATTTATGCTATTCCCAGCTCTGAAGGTAAGATTGTGATACTTTCTAAAAATAGAATAAAGACCCAATTGTAATAGTGTTAATACCTAGAAACCAAAACATATCTTATTCAATTTGCAGGAGCACCAATTAAGGAAATTTATTTTCTGGCATTAATTGATGTCTTAACACATTATGGCGTTAAAAAGCAAGCTGCCAAAGCGGCCAAAAGTGTTAAATATGGAGCAAATGTGGATGGCATTTCTACCTGTGATCCTGAGGTGTATGGGAAACGTTTCCTGGAGTTCCTCAGCAAAGCCATTGAATAATTTATCCCCTGTTTGCTTATAATTTAGGGGACTGCTTTGATGACTGAGAGCATTTCGTGAGCAAAACTCTTTCCCTAAGATGAGCTGTCCAGCGAATCGTTGCTACCGGTGTAGTAGGTGTGGGAAGGCATCATATCACTCTCACTTTTACCAAAAATGATGGCTTTATTTTCTAAAGTATGTAGAATGTGATTCTATGTGTCTCTTGTAACTCTCCTTGATATTTCTTACATTTTATCCCTTATATTATGGTGGAATATTTTATTTCTATCTTACACTATTTTGACACACATCTGCAGGAAAAATACAAATCTGAAATTGTAGCATTTAATGTTTGAAGGATGCTTTTTCTATCTGCAAATTAAAATTTCTTGATGCCTTGATAAAAGTTCAAAATTGTTGAAACAAATGCCTATTTTCATTTCTGTTATAGGTTACTGAGTTTGCTTAATTCTACATACTATTCAAATCTGCAAAGTTGTTGAGTGCTCTGAACTGTAGTTAGTTGTTCTTCATACTTATTGAAGTTTAAGAAGAACAAGGTGCAAAGAGTTTTTATGTTGTGTTTAGTTTACTTTTCACCAAATTGAATATTGGTATATCTTGAACATTCATTGCAGCTTGGTTTGTCTGCAGCTGCTCCAAAACATCTCTCCTTACTACTTCTACATCACTAAGTGGCCTGATAGCTTGTTGTACAAGTACAATTTTACACACACACACACACTCACACACACACTCACATATACTTTAACGTAAATCAATTCATTGGTGGCTCTTACTGTGTTTCAATGTATTGTTACTGTTCCTGTAATTTTTTAATCAATTATTGCAAAATGTATGGGGTTACTGTTGGTATTGACAGTTACACCCATTTGTTTACTTTCATTTAACAAATTTACCTGTTTCTAAACATGACGGTCAAGTTTAATCTACCATTTTGTTTGCAGGTAAGAATTCAGTTTCAGTTCTGTGTTAGAACTTTGCTCAGAAGGTTAGAAGGTTGCTTAATATCATGTACATGTAAGCCGTCTAACGCACATTAAACTATTGTATTCGAGAAATTTTGTATCTTAACAGACAAGTGTTATGCCTAATAGGAATTATCTATCTCTTTTAAGAAAATAATAACTGTTGCTAAAGCCTGATGTTGACTATATTGAGAATAATAGTTCGACATTTTTGTAGTTTTCCCTACTCCCTCCCCAACTTACCTGTCAGTTTTTCTTGCCTGTAAGCAGTATATCAAATATCTTACTAGGCAACATTATTAAAACTAACTCCAATGTTATAAATTACATTTCTTTTGAGAAATGGTAAAAGTATTAATTTTAGTTGTGTGTATATCAGTTAATATGTAAGTGTTTGTCATGTCCAAGCTCAATCAGTTTTATTATTGTTAATGTACTTTGTAGTTCAATGTTTTGTTTCTTCATGCCAAATTACTATTAAGTATTTTATTTTGTTAATGGTATGTGCTTTTCTTTTCTTTCCTTTTTTATTTGGCTTTTACTGGCTTGTTTCATATGTTGCCTCTTCTGTATGTATCTCTTATTCTAGTCGTATGTTGTTGCTCTGTTGATTTGGGTTGGTATGGTCAGACAAGTTATAAGACTTATTTCTGAAGACTGCTTGGAAGTTTTGTGAATTTGTGTGCATGCATATATCAGATTTAAAAAGTCTTTCTTGGCAGAAATTATATGTATAGTTTGGAAAGGTGTTTGTAAAACATCATGATTATGTCTTAATCAGCCTGACAGCTTTAGTCTGCTTTATAATTCTAGTGATTATTGGTCTTGTGTAAGGGCCAGAAGAGTGAGGGTTGAAGCTGCTCTGCATATGTTCTGTAAAATGTTATTGGCATGTTTGAATTTTACTTAATTATTATGCCCACATATGGTTTGGCAATAACAAGAGATTCAATGCAATCTGGGGGCATAATCCCTGCAGGGGAACCTATTATGCTTGTCATTAAATCTATGTCAACTTTCAACTACAGTACTTCGGAGCACGGACAATTATATTGAAAATTTGAATGGTCTCTCTTGTCATTTAGATTTCCCTGTTCAATCCACTGGTATGTGTTTCTGCTGGTGCCAAATTGTGCCATTGGTGAAGGGAACTTGCATTTTAGTTTTAAATGATCTCATTCTGGGATAGTAGTGACTCGTTTGTAGCTTATATTTCTGTTGATATCTACTTTTTTCAGCTTGATTCTTTTTAATCAATTGAGTCAGTGTAATCATTCTGATGTATGACATGTACAACATGAGATGTATGAAGGTACCACTTAGCAGACTATGTGAGAATGTTTCCTTTTAATAACTGTCGCTCACAAGTTTTATCGATTTTAAAATTTTTGCTTTTTTTAAAAATTGCTATCTATCTGTATTTGGTGTGAATCAGAATTAAACAAACAGTGTCAAGCACTGTTTGGAACTTTTTAATAACACACCCATATTATTTTGCTCAACCAGATTAGTCTACTTGTATAGTTCTCATTTTGCTTTTTTCCTTGCCTTTAAAACCAACCAGTTTTAAAATTACTTAATTTGCATTTCCCTCTTCTCCTGCCTGTTCCAATTTCACTCCTACTTTGGTGTGAATTAAATGCTTGTGCTGTTGGTGTGGTCATATTCTATTATAATGTGGTCACTGGAGTGATTCCTATTACATCAGATATCTCTTGTGAAAATACACTAGTTGTATTCGTTGGCAATATTCTGGACCAAAGTGATCTTTGTAAGAAAAGTAAAATAGAATATGCCCATATAACTTCTTATATTTCTTGTCTACACTGCTGTATTTCAGCGAGTTGTTTTAGGTTGAATGCAAACAAGATTTTATTCCAGTTATGTATCTTTTTCAAACTGTAATTTTTTCATTTTGTTGATCCTGAATAAATTATAACTTGTCCTGCATTAATTGTGACTTTTTAAATTTCCTTAGTACTGTTCATGGTGCCTTGGGGGTAGGGCGAGTAGACAAACTCGTCTACTGCTGTGCCGGAGGCCTGACACACAGTACACATGAGCACCTCTCTCATGTGCAGAATCCAAAATGTATGCCTCTTGCTGGTGATGAGTGTGGTTGCAGAAAATTTGAGATTGAGTTTAGGTATTAAACTTTATTATAAAGAACATTTGATTTCAGTCTTTGAAACATAATGGACTTTTACTAAAGTACAATTGTAATTAGTCAATTTGTAAATTATTTTTAAAAGGCAAAATGTGCCACATCATTGTTAAATCATCTAAAAAATAGAATGAATGACTTTCTACCACATACCTTGAACTAAAGCATAAATAGTACGTAATATTGTTCGCTATCTGCCACAAATTAATAAAAGTAGTTCTGTCACATATTTCATCCGATAGGAGAAGCAGCCTTCTTATTATTTTTGAATACTGTACTTGTAAAGCAAGAAACCTCTCTAAGATTTAATCATTGCTACTAGATCAGGTAAATAATATAAGGCACTTGATCAACAATCACTAGGAACAATTCCAACTTTCAGACAAACAGCCATCTCCAGTGTAAAGTATTACAATCCTGCACAGTTAGTCTCTGCCTTACCACAATTGTGTTAAAAATTATAATATAACTCTTGTGTTCAGTCATAAATAAATTATCATCTCTTTTATTCAGTCTGCTGTCATTTCACCAAAGGTCAACCTTTATTGGTTTTCAATGACGTTTGGTGCCAGCTAACACAGATCTGACTCTCTTTCTCTGACCAAATCTCAAGTCAGTCATGTGCATGTCATGATGTACACCCTGTACAAGAGAGTCACCATTTCTTCAAATATTACACTGTGCCACTATCATAGCCAACTAACATTAGATAGATAGATAGTTGTATCCACGAGGAAAAGGCCACCGCCTCACTCCAGTATTATGCCATCGACACTCCACCACATCCGGGAGCAGCCCTTGTCAGAGCCACCCCTGGGTCCCAGGGTGGGGCAGGGCTTAGCGAAGCCGCCAGCACGGGACCTCGGGACACCCCTGTAAGAAAGTGTGAAGCAAAGGCCGACTCCTGTGTAGGGTGGCGAACGTCGCACAAACCCAGAGGGGCCTGTCGCCGCACTCCGCGCGCAACAACCGAGGGCCGTGGTTCTAAACTCGTGTGTGTGGTTTAGTAGTGCAGGGTCCCTGGAAGGGGGTAAGGTATAGCGGAGGGGTGTAGCGACCGGGCCGGAACCCGGCAAATGGCACCCCTCCCTCAACATCGGACGAAACTCAGCATGCCACAACAAACAGAAGAGGTACAGCTCTGGCCCACCCAACGACGGGTAGTACCGGAACAGCACGCAACAAGATAGATAATACAGGTGCTGCTCAAAGAGGCCATGCGAGGAGGCACAACACATAGAGCGCGAAAGCAGAGGGGGAGGAGCAGCAGGCAAGGGAGTAAAGAGAGAGCTAAGCGAGGAAGAGTCTGGGAAGATGAGGAGAAGAGCGAAGGCCGGAAAGACCGAGCAGGCCAAGCAGAGAGCAGCGGAGGGCAGGAGTCTGGGGGGAGCAGAGGGAAGGCCCTCTGGCCCAGGGGCCGAACGCGGCACAGAGGCAAAGATGCCCAAGAGGGGTAAGAGGCAAATGCTAGGGGGCGAGAGAGGAGAGGAGCCGGAGGCCATGGATGGAGACAAAGTGGAGGGCGATGCGATGCCCTATGAGTGCAACAAGGACGGAGCTATACATGAGGTATCGGAGAGCCTCTCTTCAACGATCTCCTGAATCGCACAGCAGACTTATATAGAAAGAGTCCAGTGCTAAAGGGAAGACGGGGGGAGAGGGGGGGGGGGGGGGGGGAGGGGTGCACAGCGGCGCTTCAGGGGTTCGCAGGGAGCTCGCGGGTACGTTGACGACGGCGAGCTTCGCCCCGTCCCCTCCTCCCTAGCACCACCCTCCAGGGTAGCGCCGTGTCCGGAACGAGAGCCGTCGCCGGCCTCTTGCTGGCCCCGGGTTTCCAGGGACTGGCGCCGCGTAGTCCCAAGGAGCTAAATCCTAAGAAGAGGGAGAGATAGGCCACACCACAATGCAAAGCGAAAGTAGGTGAAGATAATTAGAAAGGGATTAGGCAGTACATAGCGACAGAGGTGAAATAAAGCAAGCATAACGACAGTCGCGTTTGGGCATATTAGTGAAGAAGCAAGGCACAGCACACAGGCAAGCACAATATAGCATGCGAGATTCGTCCGACCTGTCCCCCTTTCCAGGCAAGAGGGCCGCGAGGAGTCTTACCCACGACTGAGGCTGGCTAGTCCAGCCCCAGCCGCCCCCACCCCACTATCATAGCCAACTAACATGTTAAAATAGTACACTTTGCCAGGCTTCTAAATATTATAATTTAAGTCTTGGACCCTAGATGACTAGCACGTTCAGCAATTTGTCCTTGTTTGTCAACAAAATGACAATTCTTTAATAGGTTACAAACCACACTATAGCACAAAATTATGTAACTTCGTCAAAAATAATATCTGTACATGCTAGTTACTTACACACCAAAATCATTTCCACCAGAAACTCACAGAAAATGATGTAGATAATGCACGTACGTGGTGCCAAAAGCGTGGTGGGATATACAACATTTCTCCTGCTTCTAGCCTGCATTCAATTGGTGGTGCAATGTTTTTGAACAGTGGAAATTGATCATAATCTGGTTTCTCAGGGTCAACCCGAGCTGTGTTGCTTAGTAATCTATCAGAGTGAGGATAAAGTGAGGGTGATATTTCAGGTGGAAACAATAATATACGCTTAGTTCCAACAACCTGAAAATGAAAACAATAGGTCAGACAAAATTTGATGAAATGATTCGGAATAGCATACATTGAGAAATAATGAGTTAAACTATCCACCTGAGCAAGGAGATTATGTTTGGGATCATAATGTAATGGAGAAACTGTGCCTGCAGGCCCAAACCAAGCATTTATATCCGTACCCTCATTGGCAGGTTCTTCTACTTGAATGGAATCATCACTCAGACAACAATACTCCGGTTCACAAATATCAGCCCTTAATTCAGGTACCTGGAATTACAGAACAAGATTGTGTAAATTTAAGGAAACTATAATAAGCTAATTCATTGCTAATTTGTAGCATTTTACTGACACAAAAATTTAAGGACCTGTTCAAAAAGTTGATGTTGAGCAAGGTACCCTAATTTACCACCAACAACATGTTGTTCAATAAAGTCAGCAATAGTCATCAATTTTTGGGAATAATCTGTATGAGCATAGTGTGAACCCAGCTCAATTGGTACTGTTCGTGCACCGGCTACTCTTTGCAGGTATCCAATATCATTCCATCGCTTAGATGCTGGCCAGTGCATCATACAACCTACATAAGGAGGTATAGAAACTTCTAAATTAAGAAAAGTTTTCTGCCTCATTTCAACCATTACCTAATAAAACCAATTAAAACCATACCTTTTATTTTGACTGGAAGTTTTGGAAGGAAATGATCTGTGCAAAATCTCTCAATAGAAGGACAGTCTAATTCTTTAATGGGAGAACCAGACAATCCCTTAAGAATAAATTGAGTTGATCTATCTTCAAGAAGAATTGGATCTAAAGATAATAAAATGTAATGTGCTTGTGATTATAAACGTAAACAATAGGAGAAACAACAGAGTACTTTCATGAAGAACACAAACTCTGGAAGTGGTGATAATTTCTCTGCTATAACAAGTTAAATTTTGGAACACAGTTAGGTACAACATTTATTAGAATTACATAATTCATAGTATCCAAGAAATCAGCATCCTCTGTTCAAAATTTACCTTTCAATAGAGACAAAATAACACCACTTCTGAAGGATTGAGAATGAGACAATTACTCCGCAAAAGCATGAAAAAGAAAGTAGATTTTTACCTTGTTCTGATGAACCTGACTGCTCAACCACTTGGGCTAAAGTGGTACTCAGTAAGCTTGCAGCTATTGTAAGATCAAGACACTCGTTAGGAGATGGAAGAGGGGCTCCTAACAATAAGCCCATATCCGCAGCTTTCAGAGCAAGACGAAGAAGAGTTTCTTCATCACCAGCTTGAGAATACAGAAGGCATAAAATCTGGAATAGAAAAATGTTGTGCTCATGTTTATCATAGTCATTACTGACACACTCAAAAGAAGGTTCAGGAGTTGCACCTTAATGAGGCTGGCTATACTAAACACATGCCGATGTACGATGGGTACATCTCTCCAGTGACCAGTATTCAGTTGTTCCCATGTATGATCCAATACTGCTTGGATAGAGGTAAGAGCTTGCTCTGCTTCAAGTCGCAATTTTTTTTCTTCACTGCTTGAAGTACTCCTATAATGACAATAGGACACAACAGTTCTTCATTTATTATATGTGACAATTAGAAAGTACTGAAAGCAAAATATACAAGTCATTTAGGTAACAGTGTTGACTGACAGACTTACTCTTTCAACTGAGGTATTATGCATACGGCATCCCTCATTAACTTTAAAATAGGTTTAGGTACAATATCCAGTTGAGGAAAGGTATTACAAACATTGTCAGGAAGAAGTTTCCACAACTTTGGAAGAACTAAAGAAGTCCTGTCACTAGAAAATTTGAAATCATCAATATACCATTATACCATTACAGACCTACCATTATGGTTCGTCCTTACCCAAATGATGGTTTCTTAGGGGCTGTCTCACCCTCAGCTGTTTTGAACTGACTGGATTGGCTAGAATGAAAGTCTCGTTTGCATTTTGGAGATTCCAAAACACTTGCTTCTAGCCTTTCAGCAACTGCATCGTGGTCTACACTGTCATCCGCCATTGCTTCAAGACCTAGGAAAAAAGCAATGTTTACTTATTATATTATTATAGTTGTTAACTGACATTATAATTTGTAAATTAACATCAAAACTACGGGTGTGACACTCCTAAAAGAAGCTATAGAGCATACACTCAACTAGAATTAGAAAATCAGGCAATGCAATGAATGTGACATTCGTGAGTTACAGGGAATATTTAACACAAATCGCACATAAAAAGTAATATTTTCAGAAGAAATAGGTAAGCATTTTAGGGTTACCCCAACATTTAACGACCCAAATTGATAACATCACGCATAGCAAATTATAGGCAAGTGGCAAGTAAAGGAAATGTACGAGTTGTCATGGAGCTTACACTAACAAGGTAGATTTCAAGGTGAATAAACAGCACAAAATCATGGCACAATCTACATTCAGGACGTTCTGTCTGTATTATGTACGAATTTGAACAACGTGCGGGCTCCACCTAGAATCACGCCCAAAACTAGGTTAGCATCTACACACCAAAAAAATTGGTGGTGGGTTGGGGGAACGAAGCGCGCACTAAACGAAGCATCTAGGGTCCACACCCTGATCCAGGGCTCCTGGCTCCGATTGCGATCGTGGATGCGAAGCGGAGCGGAGGACGCGGACGCGGAGCGGGAATAGTGGAGGGGATTTGAACGGCCTGGGGCCGGAGGTGTTCTCGGATATTTCTGAGATAAGTTTCAGAATAACTTTGCCTCCAAGTGTATTACAGTTAAGGGAGGAAGAATAATAGCGGGTAGAAGATAAAGGTTCCTGATAGGTCGAGCCGCTACCCCCACTACCGGCGTGACGTACAGGCGGGAAGCTCTCGACCAATCAGGAACGGTTTTGCTCAACCGTAAGCCGAAACACTCCGGGGGACACCTCCTGTTCGAATATTCGAATATTCATATCTTCCAACCGCTCCAACTTTCCCCGCTCCGTCTGCCACCCCGCCCGCCACCCCGTCCACGTTTATCCGGCTCATCCGCTCCGTTTCGTTAGCAGGGGAGAACGGAGTAACGTACCTCGGTCTGCATGAGCGTACCTCAGGGATCGCACCCAGGGTGCGGGGTGCGTTACTCGGTGCAGACTGAGGTACACGCCGGCTCAGAGAAAACGCAGGTGTGTCCAGGCTAAGACATGCCAGTACGTTGGGTTACCTATGCACTGGCTGCAGGGGCTGCAGGCGCGGGGCGGATGGCGGGGAAAGTGTCGGAAGTGGCAGCTCCCCCACCACCCACCACTCCCCCG